TAGAGAGCGAGAGAGAGACAGAGAGAGCTAGAACGAGAGAGAGAGGGGGGGAGAGAGAGAGAGGGGGAAAGAGAGGCAGTCAGGCAGGAAGAGTTTTTTACAATCACATAAAAGCAAGATAAAAAAACTAGATTGCTTGTCAGGTTTCCAAACGTCGTAGTTTCGCAAATTTGTAGAAAAACAACGCGATAATAAAACAAAACATTTTTATACGATAACAAGTCCGGTAAAATGCATTAATGGAGCGTGTCTTGATTCCCAAATCATTCAAAGAAACGACGGAAAATCCATTCGCGGAGCGGCCGGATCCAATTTCCCGAAGTATGGCCCATTGTTATTTTTTCTGACAGCTTCTGGTACGTAGAAATTGAAGCCGCCGGCTGTTTTCCCAGAATGCGCATACAAAAATCAGGTGCTATGTGTTTTTACGGATTTTCTGCATGTTTGGAAGTTTTTCACGACAGTTGGGGGAACATCGAAAAGTGTGTCTCTTAATTTAGGCTGAGATAAGATTTAAACCAAATAGGTTTAGATCCGCTGCACAAAACGGAAGCTGAATGAATATCACCTAACAACCTATTTCCACGCTACAAAAACACTTCGTAATTCAATTTCCGCTTTTTCGGGGCAATTAGTTCGTTTCTGTATATTGAGTGCAGATCCGGGGGATGTTGCCTCAATAGCGTCTGGATGGACTTGAAAAACAAATTACGTGTTTTAGACTTTTTTGTTGTTCAGTTCCGTTTGTGTACGGTAGAAACCATCATAAATTCCGTTTTCGAAAGCTGGAAAAATTGGATTGCGTTTTAACCAGTGCCAAATTTATATAGAGGAAGAAATGACATGTTACAAGATGATTTCTCCTCCAGATTCAAGTTTTTCGGGGTCGGAGGTGGTCAACGATATTGCTGCGCCTGGTTTGGAGCTTTTTGGTGTTGGTGGCAGGATGTGGCTGGCGCTGTCCTAAAGTTACTTGAGTTACGGCATCGATAATGATTTTATCTATGCTAATCAGCCTTGATTCTATCCCTAACGTATCTTACTCTCAATTTTAAAATAACCCATTAAAAATCGCACATAATATTTTGTTTTGCCCGGTTTGCCGATGTGTAGGAATCGCTTGATCGCTCTCCGGTAGGGAGAGACGAAATACAGCGAGAGAAAAGGGGCGATCACCGGGACGAGGCCGACAATCTGGAAAACAATAGGGTTGATAGGGTTGTGAGGGGATGGATTACGTGGAAAACAAGATATTCTAGAAGTGGGTGCTGTACAATTTGAAGTTGTTCCACGGCGTAACAAATAACGGCTCCAGAGAAGAGAAGAGGGAGACAAGCTTGTAACCAGAGAGCCTGAAATGACAGGTCTTAAAGGGATAGATAAAGGTATCATAATCGACCCCTTCAGTTATCTCAACAGCTACGTGAAGCACAAAAACAAGCGGGCGTCATTTGGCGCCGCGTGTAGCTGTTAATCTAATTGTAAGTCGATGCGCGGTCGATTAGGTCTTATGTCTATTTTAGCTGTCATGCTAAAATTTTTAGGAATTGCGATACCTTGACAAGTTGCCGGTGAACTTCTTTTGTCTTTGGACTCATTCGGACCACTTCAAGGACATTATGAATTTTATTCCGAAATATCGTGACGACAACGTAGACGGGCGCGCATGTTAGGCACAGCCAAAGAATCGTAAACAACGTCTCGAAATTCACGATTGACAAATGACCCGAGATGGTCGTTCCTGAAATGAAAATGCATAATTCTATGTATATCCTTGACAATTTTTGGCCTTTCCAAGTTTCCCCCGGCATTTTTTGCCCTCAACAACCCGAACCGCGGTAAGAAAATAGGGGACCTGTCCAATTTTGTGCCGGGAACTTGGTCAGGAGGATTTCACGGATGGCCGGCTCGGGGTCGGTGGAGAACGCGAATGTAATCTGGGAAAAAGAAATGGAAAACAGATAATAGATGTGAATTACGGCCTGGACGAGTGACGGGATGTAGACGAGTAGACAAATTATTACACACCGGCAGATGCTTGGTGTTAACTGGAAATATTTTTGGCTAAATACGGAGCCGTTTGCGTAAAGTGCCAGTAAAGGAATTTAGCCGAAAAATAAGGTACTGCTGCGTACTAAATACGGTGTAACACCCACCCTGGTAAGGATATACCACCTATACCAAAATGAGGGTATCAACGAGACGAGTGTGTGTGCATAGCAGTGCAACATGAGACAGTATCCGATGTGGCAGGCTCGGGATCCCCAATAAGTACACGGGCCGTACGCCACGTACGCAAGGAAGCGACCGTCCGGTAGCATCCTGAAAAGACTACAGTTTTGGGGGCTCATTAGTGATAAGAAAGGGCCGAGCGGTTCCCTGATGAGCCCATTTCTCCATCAAAACACGAGCCAAAAATCATTGTTCCTATGGCTAAAATATTTTTATACTTTCTACGCTTTTTCCAGTAGTTTAAGATATCCTTTCACCACTGAATAATACGTTATTGCTTACTTTTAAAAAGTTACTTACACGGGAACTGCGACATTATTAGTTTTTAGCGCTTACTACTGTCTAGACACTTCCAAAACCCACCGCTGCATAACAAATATCGCCAAAGCGCACGCCGTGACATCCGTAAAAGCGAAATTGGCGAGAAACACGGCATATGTCTTCAGATTTTTTTGGTGTTCGTGTAAAGATCAAAATAATCAGCACAATATTAGCAAAGATCCTACTATATATAAAAAAATAGTGTCTGTGTGTGTGTGTGTGTGCATTTGCATGCAACTTCCGTCCGTATGTTCCAGTCGTATCTCAATAGGGGAGGAAGTTAAGGGTACGTATGATACGTCATTAGGTGCGTAATGGTCATGACACGACTGCACGCACATGAGATTTTTCAAAATCAGCTATTTTCGATATTAAAATTAAGGTTTTGTGAAAATCTCGCTCAGCCTCTTTGTTAGGAATCAATTTGCATGCACCGGAAGTGGGGGAAGCCTATATAACGGCGGAGAGGACGCGCTTTTCATTTTTCTGCACAGGAATTCAGGTGTTTATGCAAAGTGACGAACTATAGGGGTAAGACGCGGGGCCAGGGTTGAAAAGCCGCGAGGCGGCTTTTCAACCCTGGTTCCAATTAAATTAGTCAGCCAGTGGATGAACTCGTTCAGAAACGAACCATCCATTCGGAAGATGTTTTTACGGGGCCCGGAATTTTCGGTCTGGGTACGCTCTGGGGTATTTGATCATTGGCATGCCGCCGCAACATCTTGATGTGGGGGCCTCGGGAATTTTGGGGGATTAATTAGGTTTTAGCGGGAGGTTTGTCGCGCGATGATGGCTACTTGTCATCGTATAATTCGTTTGTGATTAGTTTCAACATTCGCCAGATAAATTATCTAAAAACCTTGTCAAAATACCTCTATACTTTACCCGTGAATTCCAACTTTTTTCCTTTCAACAATTTTAATCTCTAAGCACGACGACACCCATTACAAAGTGTGAAACATTCTATAGCCAGTTTTCATCGACAGGCCTGATCCGACAAACATGATACGGCATAGTAACACCTCAAAAACTGATAAAACGCAAAATCTGGTTCTTCTTTGGCGCTGACAAAATGTTTCTTATCTAAGCGTCCCTATTACTTATGACTTTTACCACTTGGCAGTTTTACCGTCGGTCGAAGCTACCGCTTGGCCCATATCCTTGGCTTTTTCTCGGAAATATACCACATATACTCTAGTTGTTTCATGTGAAAAAGCTTGATACTATTCAAGCTAATCAATACTGGACAAGAAGCTATGGGAAGGTACTTTCATAAACTCAATTTTTATTCCGGATCTATCTCAAAAATACCGACTAACAATTATCCGTTTTAGGTATACACTTTTTGGATTGGTGCGGTTCCCGTGGTCAACATTTGCGACTACGATGTACTCCAGCAAGCCCTTGTGCGCGACGACTTTTTGGATGCGTATCTTCAAGAGCAAGAATTGGTAGCGACTAATAAGAAATCCTGGGGCACTTTCAGGTTTGTAACGACCTCCATTTTAGCCCGTATTTCTAGGCTGAAAACGTAGCTGCGACGACAATTTGACCTCTTTGAAGGTGCTCGCCCTGACCCATGGTCATTGACATACAACAATTGCCGAAAAGGACAATACCACTTTTGTAAATGCCACGATTACGGTGTGTATTTTCAATTTGAGAAGGTGATTTGATAATTACAGAAGATCGTGTGCCGTGCTCATATTCTGAACCTGAATTTGGCTCGTGAAACAACCATGGAATGCCAATTTGGGAAGTATACAGTGCCTGCGGGTACGATATTTACGCCTAATGCCGCGGTGGTGTTGATGGATCAGGATTTATTCGCGGAGCCTGAGGAGGTCGGAGTTTTTTAAGAGTTCTAGGAAGTCAAGGCCTAAAGTTTATTGGCGTAATTTCGATTTCATATTTCAGTTCCACCCCGAGCGTTTCGTCGAAAACCCAAAATTGGAAGAGTTTGTGATTCCATTCCTTGTTGGTCGTCGTGTCTGTTTTGGAGAACCGCTCGCTAAGAATGAGATATATCTAGTAGCGTTTGATGTTTTATATAAAGCTAAGATTTTTAGTTCCTTGCAAACATCTGCCAAAAATATTCATTTCATTTCATTCTTTCATTTCCCATCGACGCGGAACCCCGGATCCGTCTGGATGGATGGCCGTTCAAGCCGTGTCAAGCCGTTCAAGATTCGATTCATCAAATTGCAACAATGAATGTCATCATTTATCGCATATTGGTAAAGATATAAATAAATCATTAAACTAAAATGACAGCTATTTTTCATTCTGGCCTTGTGGTGAGGCATCAAAATATCTCCTCCAAGTACGGAATTTGCTCCTTTTGATGCTGCTTTCTGGGTTATCTATGTCTTTCCGCCATTTCCCTGTATCCGCCAAAATATCACCCTCTTTATTGCCATTTACGTGGTCCCGCCCTACTGATAAACATGATACGCCGTGGGTAATAGTAACTGAAAAACAGATAAAAGGCAGAACACGTTCCGCTTTTGGCTGGCGGCATGTTTTTAATCCTCACCTCGCTATTACTCATTACCTTCGCGACTTGGCAATATTTTCGTCGATCAAAGCTACCGCCAGGTATCTGTAGTTCATTAAATCTAATATGCTTTTAGGTCCCTATCCATGGCTTTTCCTTGGGAATTTGCCCGAAATACTTTATCTCTTACACGTGAAAAAGCTGGACACGATACAACTTAATCAAGGCTTGGTCAGACGATATGGAAAGGTAATGGAATTATAACTAAACTACACCTTCAACAATTCTTTCAGGTATATACAGTCTGGGTATGCGCCGCACCGGTGGTAAATATCGGCGACTACGAGACGATCCTGCAAGTACTTGTTCGCGATGGGGCAATAAATAGCAAACGTTATGAGGCCCCATTTTTCTGCGTCGCCAGAACGGGTAGTTCAAATTTTGCGCTTCAAAATATAACTTGCCAAAAATTTAAGTCGTTTTTAAGACAAAAATGATGGTCATGTGTACGGGACGATGATGGCAAACGGGCAAATATGGGAGGAACACCGGAAGTTTACGCTTCGAGTGTTGAAACAGCTTGGAGTAGGGAGAGGGATTATTGAAGACCGAATCCTTGATGGTACGGTATCGTTTTTAGTATAAAAATTAATAAACACTGCTTAGAACTCGACTATCGAACCGCTGAAATTGACAAAAGGCTTGTGAACAACAACACGGCAACATTGGAATTCAACCGGATTTCGGATCTATTCGTCGGCAACACGATCAATCGAATTCTTTTTGGATACCGTTTCGATGAGGTAACGCATTGCACTGTATACTTTCAAATAACTTTATCAAATCCAGGAAAACTACGCAAAATTCCACGCTGTCAAGGCCCCCCTTGATGACGCCTTTGCGTCAATGACCGGGCTGCACAACTTTATGCCCGACTTTATTAAGTATATTCCGGTCTTGAAAAGGTTGGGGGATTTCTTGAGTCTAACACTTGACGATAATTTAGAATGCACCAACATATTATTCAACCGCAAGAGCGGGTGCTTGAATTTGCGATCGAGGAAGTGAAAAAGAGGTAGGTCATAATCTCTTAAAGGCTGCATTTTGCGTGATTTTAGAGTTGAAAGCATCAAAGAAGGTACTTGGTCAATTGAAGGGGAGCCTCACGACTTTTTGGATGCATATCTGCAAGAACAGGAATTGGTGGCGACGAATCAGAAGACTTGGGATATTTTTAAGTCCGTGACCAACTTCTAAGATTACCGCCTATAAAATCCGAATTTGTAGTGATTTTGCCCTGTACAACGATATTGTCGATATCTGGACGGCTGGCCAAGAAACCACTTCACTCACCCTCAATTGGGCTTTTATTCTATTAACGCGCCATCCTGACGTGATTGAAAAATGTCGAGCGGAGGTCAGATTCCACTAATATACTTTACCAATATTTTAAAGGTACTCGCCCTAACCCATGGCCATCGACACATCAATATGGGAGCTCGAGACAAGACACCATATATGAATGCCACAATAACGGTATGAAATGCTGCTTCATTAATAGCCAGAGTTTTATTTTTAGGAAATCATGCGTCGTGGGCATATTCTAAATCTAAACATGGCTCGTGAAACAACTGTGGATTGTAAATTCGGGGCATACACCGTTTCCGCTGGGACTGTATTCACGCCTAATGCCTCATTGGTATTGATGGATGAGGCTATATTTGAGGATCCAGAAAAAGTATGGATTTTATTGCATAATAATTACACAATATTTTTCGTTCCGCCCCGAGCGTTTCGTTGAAAACCCAAAATTGGAAGAGTTTGTGATTCCATTCCTTGTTGGTCGTCGTGTCTGTTTTGGAGAACCGCTCGCTAGGAATGAGATATATCTGGTAATCCCTCTGTTTTTGTATAAATCTATGATTCTCAGTTCCTGACAAACATCATCCAACAATATTCGGTAAGCGAGGATCCGGAATTTCCTATCGACGCGGAGCCGAGGATTCGACTGGATGGCTGGATCAACCAAGTCAAGCCGTTCAAGATTCGATTTACAAAATTGCAATATTGAGCGTTGTTTTTGAAAATAGTTTTAATAAGGGTTTTTGCATGAGTACGCCGATAAGATGCAGCTCACCCGATCCAACAAAATCAACCAACAAATCAATTTGGTGCTAGTACTATCGCAATGGGAGAGCTTATCATAACTGTTTTCCCGGTGCGACTAAACCAAATAACCAAATAGTAATCCCCGTGCATATACATAATCTGTAGGCAAATCTCTCGCGTGAAAACGTTTGCGGTGGTTTTTCGTGATTCCTTGCATGTACAGAGGGGGCCTGTTTATCATGCTCCCTAAAAAAAGGATGAGGAACGCCCTCTAGGAAATGCCCAATCGACGCCTAAATAAGCCAGCAGGTCGACGGTGTCCCTCAGTCTTTTAATATTTCCCCAGCAAAAGTCGACATTTCGGCCTCATTTTGTCTTGAAAAATGAGCAATCGTGCAGTGGCTGTTCTTCGAGGCGAGAAAGGCGTTGAGGGGACGGTTTGGTTGAGACAGGTTTGTCAGAAATCCTATCCTATAAGCGAGAAAAGTATGTTTGTTTTCTGTACGGCCGTTTTCTCGGCCGTCAGGCCGAATTTCAGGCTGATTTTTGGCATGGAGGTGGAGAACCACATTCGCCAAAAACGCATTTTTTTGTTTTCCGAAATTCCTCCATTTAACACTTTTACAAGCAAAATAGTAAAAATCCTTAACAAAATGGGCGACAAGCCGTGGTGTTCGGGGCATAACTCGATTCGCATTTGGAATTTCTGGCTGAAATTTGGACCAGTTATGTATTCGATAGTGGGGATCACGCGCATCTTATTATCTTTACAAATTTTCTGCAGATTCAGACTCAGAAACTTAATTTTGTAAAGTGACCAGAAGGCTTCCCTCCGGGGCATTGGGTCGGACTTTTCTGTGCCTCCCCGTCCGCCTTTCCCCGGAACAGAACAGGGCTTTCCCGCCGCCTGTTCCCATCTACCCCGTGGTGTAGTGGATTTACGCCCGGCCCACCACGCCTATGGTCGTGGGTTCGGATCCTGGGCAAATCCAACTTTTTACTTTTTGGTAGTTTAGCAACTAAACGGATTTCTAGGCTCTCGGTGTGCGGGGGTTAGGCCTGGCCCTCGCTTTAGCGCCGCAGGCCAAGAAAAGGGGCTTGGTCCAGGCTCTCGCGCCGCAGGCCCAATCCTGGAGAAAAACCAGTAACTAGCGCCGCAGGCTCAAATGTTCTAGCGGAACGCTGGCTCTAGCGCCGCAGGCCAAAGAATGGCGCCATTACTCAGGCTCTTGCGCCGCAGGCTAAAAGAAGAAGGTATTCAAATTCATGATTCCTGGACGGGGTCCAGTGGAAAATGGCCGCGAAGCGGTCTTTTTCCACTGGTTTGTATATATTTTTCTTTTGACTTTGATTCGCGTCAATAGCCTGTTAAATTTTACACGCTTTGTGAATAAAAAACACCTTTGGTTGCTTTAGAAAGTGCTTAAGATGTTCACACCTTTGAACGTCTATAGAAATTTCACAAATCTTGCAAAATCACATTTTATAGAATAACAAATGATACTTATTACAAGCTTTTAAGGACAAAGAAAGCCATGCTGTGAAAATCTGTGGAAAAATCATTGGCCTAGCCCCAGGGAAACACGGAATCCATATCCACGTCTACGGCGACGCGACGAAGGGTTGTGAGTCCGCTGGACCACATTTGAATCCGGATGAAAAGTCTCATGGAGGACCAAAGGTATGTCAATTTGATTAAATCTGCCTCAAACAAAACAAAAAATTCGACTACGGTTACAATATACCCTAAAATCCCGAGTATAGTCCCCCCACTACTTGTATAGTACCGGGTGTGAAGTACGTAGCGTTCGTAATTCCGTGTGGCCGTAAAGAGGTGAGTTTCGTTATTTCGGTTTCTCGCAAATAACTCCTTTCATGAAAGGTATTTTTGCCATTTTGATTGAAGTTTTGCTCACATGTGGACTATTTCAGCATTTTGAGTGCTTTAATGAAAAAAATTGATGCGGAAAGGCAGTCCTAAGAACCGCTTCTTTTGGCTTACATAGCTTTTGCGGCCAGAGGCCGGGGACGCACGTTATTAGGACGTCCCCTGTATTGCTACGTTGCCAAGGTGTACCGGAATTATACTCGGGATTTTAGGGTAATAACCAACGCTGACCCCCGCTACACGGGATTTCAGCGTTTGGACTCCCCCTCCGGCACAGTTTGAATTTCGAATTTAAATGCATAATTTGGCAGAATTCCCGGTCGGGCGTACTGACATTAGAAACTTTATATATAGCAGACCCCAAACTTTAAAAAAATTAGGAAGTCGGCCGTCATATGGGTGATCTGGGAAATATTGAAGCCGACAGCAATGGCGAGGCAAGGTTCGAGATGACGGATGATATGATAAAGATCCATGGCGAAGACTCGGTGATTGGGAGGTCGATCGTTATTCATGAAAAAGAGGATGATCTTGGTATTTCTAAAGTGTGCTTAACCGATTCCCCGCTTCAGGAAAAGGCACCGGCCACGATGAGGCGGAATCGTTGAAAAGCGGCAATACCGGTGGGCGTCTCGCTTGTGGGGTGATCGGGCACGCAGCTCCTGAAGATTAATTAGAAATCTACGCTACACAACTGCTTAATTTCTCCCACTGATACCGCGTGGGTCAAAAAAGGATTGCTACTACTTGGTGTTTTTAGTTAGTTTGCAGTGGTAAATTTTCTCCAATATAATATCCGCTTACAGAAAGAGGCAAAAACCAACGCAGGGCATTATTCTTTTTTTAAATAATGTGATTGCATCGCATTAAATTGCTCTTTTCGGCGAAACATTGCGTCGTGTTTCGGGGCCGAAATATGCGATCGCGAAGAGGGTGTTGACAACATTCGGAAAAGGGAGGACTGGGCTAGAGGATAGAGGGACGCCCTCTAACGGACCATTGGTCGGGCAAGAAGTAAATAGGCTGGCGAAACCATAGTTGGGCCACAGTTTTTGAATATTCATCCACTAACAGACGTTACTTTGACGTTCAATTGACTCTAAAAAATGGGCAATCGAGCTGTTGCTGTACTTCGAAACGACATCGGAGTTGCGGGGACCGTATGGTTTAGGGAGGTTGGTACAAAGTTGGGGTGCTAATGCAGTTAGGGGGGGGGGGGGGCAGTCCAAAATTGGTAGTAAGGGGTTACGAGACGCTCCACTTAAGCTACTTGGTTTTCTGCTTAAGCCTAGGCTTAACTTAGCTTTAACTAAGCTAGCTTACGCTTAGGCTTATGCTTAAGCCCAAGCTAAGCTTAAATTGATCTTTAAATTGCCTTAGGTGGTCAAAATCGGGTCATTTAGGACTAGACTTCGTTTGTATGAAACTAAGCCTAGGCTTAGGCTTGGCTTAGCTTTTCCAGAGGTTGCGAGTTTAAAAAAAGGCATTTGGAGCGTCTTGTAGTCAAAATCCGGACTGCCCCCCCCCCCCCAAGTGCATTAGCACCAAAGTTGTTTTTGAAAAATTTTCGATTTTCACTTTTCCACCACTTTATAAAAATTATTAATTTTGATTGTATAATTTGTTGCCGTTACGCCGGATCTCCCGCAAAAATTTCGCAAACGCAAAATAATTTTCAGGATCAAGCAAAGGAGGATGCGGTGACGATTTCTGGCAAAATCACTGGCTTATCCCCTGGAAAATATTGGTTGCACATCCACGGCTGCGATAAATCGACGAATGGCTGGGAGTCTGCTGGACCGCATAATACGGACGATAAAACGCACAGAGGGCCGATTGTATGTAAATTTGACAGACATAAAATGCATGATAGAAAGAAATCCGATATATTATATTTATATTTATTTGCGCAACGAGGCGCCATTGCACATGCAATGAGTCACAGTATAGGGGAAAGACGTCCCGGAAAATGTGGGGCTTAAAGGAAGGAAGGATTTTGGGGATGAATGGATGGGTGGACGGGAGGTGGGATGGGCAAAGAGGGGGGAGAGAAAAAAATGTAAAATTTTTGGAGGCTAAAGATGGTGTTGGGGCAGGGGTACTCAGTGAAGTGGTGTGAGAATCGGATGGTAGATATAGACACGGGTCTGTACCCGACACTCCAACTCCCTACCAAACCGTGCACAATACTGAGGGCGGAGCCGGCTGCGGTTTGGACGTACGCCCGGAGTACGGAACGCTACGTAAGTGCTCGGTGGGAGTGTTTCGGAGTGGTGTCAATCTTGGCCTGTCGATTTCGCTACCAAAAAATGGATTAAGAGCCCTGTGTGCACCGATCAAGACAACGGCAGAGTATAACAAACAGCATGGCAAAACCAAGAACCCTTGAGGCTACAAGACAAGACCAGACGGCAAGCGGCAATCAGCAAACGGCAAGACAAACGACATCGGCAATGTTGTGTACGATCAAATGGGCAACTATGTTTGATAGTTTTCTTTCGACGAGTCGCAGGGCGGTGGTGCTGCCGACGGAGAGGGAGGGTGGTGGTTGGCGGGTCTCGTGGGCGAACCAAAGCTGTGGAGCAGTAGGGAAGGCTGCAGGCAGGTGGAGATGATGGGAGATGACGGCTCGGAGGACTCAAAACTGCAAAAAGAAAGGGCCGCCGGAGCGGATATAGCAATATATGCGCTCTCTGGGTGATATTGAAGCCGACAGCAATGGAGTGGCCAGATTTGAGATGACGGAAGATATGCTTAAAATTCATGGAAAGGGCTCCGTGATTGGCCAATCGATAGTTTTGTATGAAAATGAGAAGGATCCAGGTATATTCCCCAAGTCGCGTTTCTAAATTTTCATCTTACACTATTGGGAGCACCACTTACAATATCTAAGAAAAACGCCAAATTTCAGAAATTCCAGAAAAATTAAAATTTTGAATGTTATTGGTGCCTAAACACAAAATATTTAGGAAAAAGCCCCAGCAACGCTAAAGAAGCATCGCCAAATACCGGAAATTCTGATGGTCGTTTGGCCTATGGAGTGATCGTACACACAGCATCAGAAGATTCAATAGAGGAGAACCCGAGGATAGTATTCTATTCTCGCCCCGACCCACCAGACCATCCCTATCAAACAGGGTGGCGGAAAATTGCTCACACACGCCCTTTGGTGCACAAAATCGAATTGTCGGCCGATAATGAGCCGAGAATTGTATTTTGACCGTGTTTTGTGTGTTTTTCTTTTTAATAAATACTTTGCAGTGGGATAGGTTTATATATAACACAACGCAAAAGAGGTACCAATTTTGTATGAGAAAGATTGACAACGAAAAGTAACAAGAATAATTGGTTTTCTAACATAAAATAAGGTTCTTGCGTATTCCTGGGGGGGGAGAATTCGCGGGGGAAACCGAACTTTTTTCGGCCCAATCCTAGATTTTTTATATAAATAGTGGAATTGTTTCTAAACTGTTTATAGCTATTCCTAGGCATAAAAACTTTACAAAATTTAATTAAAAAAATTAATTTTAGTTCGAAAATCAATTTTTGATGACCAAATTTTCGACTTTTTCAAGCGTTTTTCTAACTTTTTAAAAGTTTTTCCGATTCAGATGGACTTAAATTTTGCCAAGACAATATTAAACTACTTTATAATTGATTACTATCCCCACCAGGGTCGACAGGAAAAAAGTTGGTTTGGATTCTATGACTAAACAGTTTTTAAGCAAATAGCTACGTCTTGAAATTACGTAATTTATCTTTGGCCGGTGGATTGTACAGAGAATCCTCACTTTTTCAAATATTCAAATCCCTTATTTTCATCGCGTCTTTTGTGCCCTTCAAAACCTCGCGTGTTCGTTCGCTGGCTGAAAAATAGGGGGGCGCAGTGAGTTGTTTACCACATTCTGCAAAAAGGACTAGAGGAGAGGGCAAAAAGGGACGCCCCCTAGTGGACCACATCGGCCGCAGCTACGCGTAAATAAGCTGGAAACCCCTTGGCTGGCCTCAGTTTGGCAACTACTTACCTACTGAAGCTTATATTTTTACATCAAACCCAAATAAAAATGAGCAATCGGGCTGTGGCGGTGCTTCGCGGCGACAAGGGCGTTGAGGGGACCGTGTGGTTTAGACAGGTATGGCTGGATTTTTATGATTATTTCTAAATTTAATGCACCTTTCAAAATAGGATAAATTTGCAGATCAAAATTTTAGGACAAGGAGGGTGATCCAGTGAAGATATGGGGGAAAATCACCGGGTTATGCCCTGGTAAACATGGATTCCACATCCACGTCTACGGCGACTCGACCAAGGGTTGCGAATCTGCTGGGCCACATTTAAATCCGTTTGATAAAACCCATGGAGGACCAAATGTAAGGAATTTTACCCGAGTAGACCGTCTTGCAAACGCCCGGAATACGTATTTCATAGCTGCGTGAAACTTAAACCCGTGATCCCCCCCCCCCATTCATTTATCTTTCATTATTGACATTCCTACACCTGTAAGTTTGTTCATGTATTGAACCTTGGTGTCAGAAATAAATAAATAAATTAAAGATACCAAAAAGCAACGTTTTTGCCAGGCGTTGAACGATATACTATTTATTTAGGAAGAAAGCCGTCACATGGGAGACCTCGGAAATGTGGAAGCCGACAACAATGGCGAGGCTAAATTCGAGCTGACGGACGATATGATCAAAATTCATGGCGAGCACTCGGTGGTTGGACGATCGATGGTTGTCCATGAAAAGGAGGATGATCTCGGTAAGATTATATAGTTTTAAGTGCGCAAGAAATCGTGAATTCGCATGTTTGGCAAAAGTACAAACATCATATTTGCAGGAAAGGGCACCGGCAACGCCAAGGAAGAATCGCTAAAAACAGGAAATGCTGGCGGTCGTCTGGCCTGTGGTGTTATCGGACTTGCCGCTCCGGAAGACTGACTATAAACACATGCAAAAATAATCCTTTACTCTCGAGTTAACTAATTTTCGGTATGAAAAATCGATAAACATTTCGGCATCAATTTTTTTAGCATTCCAAAAAGGGCATGTAAATCAGAGGAAAACAGCGCCTTCATATCTGCGTCTATCCCTATCCCTCTCCCTCTCTCTTACTCTCGCACCTACACGCAAGGCTGTTTTTGACGCTGTTTACCTCGCAGGTCGGCCTTGCACCACGCCACAATTGCATTGAGAACCCGCAGGTTTCATTATTCTGCGTGTTTTTAAGCCTACTTCTGGAAAATGAGCAATCGAGCTGTTGCTGTATTACGCGGAGATCCAGGTGTTAACGGGGTCGTATGGTTCAAACAGGTAATCTGTGTTTCTCTTTTTTATTAGGATATTCGTAACCGGTGAGTTAAGGTTAGGTTACTGCTGGATTTTTCAGTTTCGAAATTATAAAAATTTCTTTGAGAACTGTCGCGAGGAACCGGTGCACATTAGCGGCAAAATACGCGGGTTATGCCCCGGTAAACACGGATTGCACGTCCATCAATATGGCGATTCCACCGACGGGTGTACGTCTGCTGGGCCACATTTTAATCCGCTAGAAAAAAGCCATGGTGGACCAATGGTATTTAAATAACTGCAAACTACTAAGCATACTAAATTTAACATGAAAACAAACGCTGATACATCATCAATTTAAGGATGAAGAGCGACACGTTGGAGACCTGGGCAACGTTTTGGCGACGATGGATGGGATAGCCGAGTTTGATTTTACAGATCATCAAATAATGGTGAGAACTGACGCTTGGGAAGGCTTCATTTTTCTTTAAGCTTTACGGCCTCAACTCAATTATCGGGCGTTCGCTTGTCGTACATGCGGGAGAAGATGATTTGGGTAGGTTTAAAAATTTCTCGAGACCCATAGACCTCGGTTTTGTGTCATTTTATTTTTAATTTGCTTGCAGGAAAAGGAGAAGGAGATGCCCAAGAAGATTCGTTGAAGACCGGTAACGCCGGTGCTCGAAGCGCCTGTGGAGTAATTGGGCTTGCCGAACCGGATAAGGACAAGCTTTGTCAATAAACTGTCGTATTCCTGCGCATTTGTGAGGCTTTGAAGGTTTTTTACGTCCGCAACACAGCAAGTATTTACAGATCTACTTGCTTTACAGATAAACCGTTGTTGACGCACGCACGGCGATCATGCGTCGAAACGCTTATTTTGCGGTGTTGTTTCAAGGAATTTTCGAGCACTTCCGGGTATTGTTTGGGTGTAAGACATGATCCACGACGTTAAAGCACTGGGAAATCGACACGGAAACTGAAAAAAAAAACAAAAATCCGTCGCTCCTCAAATCTTGAGGTAATTTTCCCGAAGCTGATCTTGGCTAAACATGGATTGAAGTTGTTGGGTGATTGTGTTGAAATCAGGGCGACAATCAGGGTCTCCTTCCCAGCAGCTATACATCAGGGTTGCACTAAATTTAGTAAAATAAATTCAATTATAGCACAAAACTTACATATCCCCGGGCATCATGATCGGGACGTTCAGCCGTTTCTGCGATTTCAGCTCTACAACGAGCTTATCCCGATCGATGTATTGATATGGGATGTCGCCATAGTTGTAAATCTCCCAGATTAAGGTACCGAAGGACCAGCTAAAAAAGTTTATATGACTAAATTTGCTTTCCTCCCGCTCGTTTCGAAGCATTTAATTCAAAAACTGCAACTAACACATCAGAGCGCTCCGAAAAATAGCCTTCATCAAGTGTTTCAAGCGCCGAAAAGTTGATGATACGGTAGTGGGTGCGCTTGTGGAAATCCTTATCCTCCGTCTCCCCAAAAACAGCATGACAAAAGCTGGAGAGCTACAAAGAAGGCCTAATTCCAATCACCATACATCAATATTGTACCTTGGCTATCCCATTCGCCGTCAACAACACATTTTTCGTCTGGATATTTCGGTGAATTAATTTTTGCGCGGATAGGTATTTCTAAGCCTGGTTTCCCTAACATAATTTTGGCTTACTAGGGCATCAGCCATGCGCCAGATCGTAATTAAAAAGTTTTTAAGCCCAAATACCCTTTCGGTCATCTAAAAAGGGTAGATTAATAAGTTTCTTTAGATGTTTACATGATCTCGATAGTCATTTTTGCGCATTTTCGTCAGGCAAGTCCTGAGGTCGCCCAAAACGGCGTATTCGGTAAGTAACAGTTCTCGATCTGGGGTTGTTGAACATCCCAAGAGCGCTGTGATATAGGCATGATGGCCGAGGGCTTTGAGGATGGTAATTTCATCCAAAAGTTCTTTTCTAGGCTTTTTAATGTCCAAGTAAATCCATGCAATTACCTGTCTTCCTGATGTTTGCCTGGGACTTTGGCAAATACATCAGTGCCGGCAAGGTTTACAGGGTATTTTAACTAGAATCGATAATGCATTTTGCTGCAAACGCCAATAATCATACCATTAATGCAGGATCTATCTGTGTACACGGTAGATGTCCATAATATTTGGCGCGCTTGATAACAGAGCTCACGTCGCTGTTCACAATTTCTTCCATTTTTAGCTGCGTATTGTCAATTTCCCAAGCCAGGTCGTCTTTGAGACTGTAAAAATAGGCTTTTAACTGTTTCCACGTTACCTATAAGCGTTTTAAATCCTAAATCACTTACTCCCGATCCTTGAGCAAACTAACAACTTTTTGAAACCGTACAAATCGTTGAATCTCATGGCCCTTGTCACGTTTTTTGATCATGTTTCTAGAGGAATGCATTATTCAAGTGCCTAGTTTTCCTTTTTACCGAAAAACGAGGGTGACGACAATCGGAATGGGGAGCAGGATCATCGTGAAAAGCAGGAATAAATGCTCCAAATCCAGCGGTCTCTCGATAATTGTCCGATCCGATTCACAACTCAAAACTTCTGCCCCTCCAGCCGATGCATAAAAATCAACAAGAAAGCGATTCTCAGTTAGTCTTTTATCCGGTGTCCAGGTTAGCTAAAAAACTGGCTTCAAAACTCTTCATTGAGCTTACCGTAATCCTGTTTGCCAATATCAAACAAAAATCTTCTTGCTCAGCACCCGCTGTGTAGCTGTAAATTCACATCAATTTTCAGTTTTCAAAACCATTACTTCATGGATTTACTGTGCAAAACTGTTCCTAGTCGTTCCACAAATTTGGTATCTATTTGCAAGCTGCCACCCGCGTAGCCTAGACGTTTAGACGAGATGTAGGCGGGATCACCTTAAACAAAACGTTTTTCCTTCTAGAATAGATTACCATTGATCTGGATATTCAGCGTTTGAACCTCCATCGACGTATAAGGATAGTTCTTGCTCATCGCATAGACATGAGAACTCGTCAACGCTTTTTCGGGAATATCCGCAAAATTTTGATTCGACACGAAACATGCACAGCTGGAGTCGGCGATTCGGAAGGAGACCTTTCGCATTCCGTTCCAATGCGTCATTCGAAGTAAATCGGAATGACTAAAAACGTAATATACCTTAACTAAAAAGCATAAATATATTTACTTATTAAAATTGACAATCAATGATTCCCTATCCGTCGTATCGGGCCCGTTATAAATCCGCATAATACAAGAAGGATTGACGTTAGTCTGACGGCGAAAATTTAAATCTTGTAAGGATGATTTCTCTACCCAATGAAACAGTGCTGTGAAGATCTCATTGTCTTTTGATGTGACGGCCGTCATTTGTATTGCTCCGGTCAAGTTCATAGGTAAGTAATGTAGCCCAACAGCACTCGTATCGACTAGCCATGGATTGATTTGGATTGGAATTACCAGGGCAACTAAGCGGTAATTATACAACTTTTTATAAAACACTACCATCAACGTATTTCTTGACGTAGAGCGCAAAAGCGCATTTGGCCATCGGATTGTGGAGGGTCAGGGAAAAGCTTCCGGTTTGTGTGGCTTCCCACAGGAAGTAGTCTTGCTTCGCTGGGGAGGTTTGGCTAAAAAATTATTGTCGTAGTTGAAACAGTGATCTGTAGTGTTTTTTTTTCGGCTTCTAACACCTGTTAAAACTACTTTTGAGTTATTATCGATTAGACAATTTTTGATTAGACGATTTTCGATCAGGCGATTTTTCGCACAGACGATTTTTCCATCAGGCGATTTTCGATCAGGAGATTTTCGATCAGGCGATTTTTCGATCAGGTGACTGGGAATCCAGTGAACATATGCTTTTCCAAGTAAGCTACTTACTTTAATATCGTAGTAATCAAGTTGGCAGGGGCCTTTTTGTTAATCAAAAACGGATAGGTGGCGTTTGATAGGGTTGCAATGGGTATTTGATCTCCCACCGTTATCCCAACATCACAGTCCCCACAATCAACGGTAATGGTTAACTAAATAATTTTAGAATTATCTAGAGTGAGATAATGGGAGAGAGAGAGAGAGAGAGAAAGCGTGAACTCTCCTCCTACCTCAGTGGAATTGACAATCTCCGAGCAATGCTCCACATACGTCGTCACATCCTTGCTTAGGCTAATTGCCAATTGAGAATGACCGTAGCCTGGAATTTAATCATATTTTAAGATGCCCTGAGACTTACGAGCAGCATAAACCAAAACCAGTAGTTTTAAAAATAGCATGGGCTATCTGAAACGATGAGATTTCCGAATCACAAAGGAAAACCAAGATGCCCGCGAAAAGGAAAAGATAAATGTTCCCGGCAGCGTAGCTCTGAAGTTGTGACGCGCTTGATAAACCAGCACAAGCCCTTGATATGCGATAATCCGCTTGTTTTGTGGTGTACTGTCGATATGGATCTTGAGTTACGATTCCTGGACCTCAAAAACCTGCACGGCTCAGAACCAAATGGTAATGTTCCGTGGCTCCGAATCTTGTACTTTTGAAGGTAGAAACCAGCAAATTCAGTTTCATTAATATATGGCCAGCAAAATTCAGATTCGTATAAATTTATTCAGCACTATTCACAAGCCACAATTCGCCGAATCCCCGTGTACATAGGCGTGTAGCGTCGCGACAATGGTGGCGAGCGACGGTCGATTGCTGACCCGATTCTCCCAACACGAGATCATCAGCAAGCGTCTGCAAATCGAGTGTTATACTGAAATATGTATAAAAACTTACAAAGCATCTGGTGTCTCTGCCGGTGGATCGAGCCGGTATCCTCTTTTCAATGACTCGAGCATGAGCTTCGGTTCTACGGCTTCGTAGGGTAGGTCGCCAAGGGAGTACATTTCCCAGATGAGAACGCCGAAGGACCAACTGTAATGAAATTAGCATAATCTTACATGCCTATTTTTGCAGACCACCAGGAAGCGCTTGAATTTAGAGCAACGCGAGAATTCTATCAAAATTGCTGCTGGGGTCTCAAAAAGCTTTTAAAGTATGATTGACTTTGTTTTTTCTTATCATGTCTCGTTGATGAGCGCTCTTCCAGTTTTTTCAGTGCTTTTTGCCTTTTTCAGTCACTTACACATCGGATTGCTGTGAGAAAATGCCAAATTCGATGGCTTCCGGTGCGCTCCACTTGATGGGGATGTGTCCGGCGTGGGAGGAGAACAGGTCGGATTGACGGCTCAACCCGAAATCAGAAAGCTGAATCAACCAAATTCGAAAAAAGCCGCTCAGTTTACTTTAGATATCTTGTCCTTTGTTAGCAGCACATTTCTGGAGGCCACGTCACGATGGATTAGCTTGTGATCGGCCAGAAATTTCTGTGCGAAAAGGAGTTTTCGGGCTTTTAAAAGATACCAGTGCGCTGGCCACTTCTTTAGCTATCCGCGGAAAATCCGGAAGTGCCAATTCACATCTAGCCAAATCCTCGATATTTCCCGATTTTTCGGCGAGTCGCATTTCGAGGAGATTAGCATAGAGGCTTCCAAGGGCGCAGAATTCAGTGAGTAGCAGGGGTGCCTTTTCATTTTCATGGCATCCAAGAAGTGAGAGGAGATTCTCGTGATAGCCGATCGTTTTCATTAATGCAATTTCGTCCAAGAAATCCTTGCTAAAGTGGGGTGTGCGCAAAAAAGCTGATCTCACGCGTTGTCATTTTCTGCTGGTCGTTTTACTGCTACTTCGACATCTTTACGATCGACGGGAAAACGGTCCTAGAAATTGTATGTACTTTCGCAAGCTTTAGAATACGGTAGCTCTTCCAGATAATTTAACACGGTTTACGATACCTGTAAATCCGTATTTGTAAGTATACAGGGCAAGGGTCCATAATACGTCCCATGATGTACGTTGGCAAAAGCGCCGCGTCCGATCTTCTGTTTTATCACAAGGAATGCCGGCTCGATTTCCCATTGTTTCGTTACGTAGCTGCTAAATTGCGATGTTCAAATAAAGCTTCTCAAACCAATATTTCATCACAAAATACATTGAATGATTACTTACTCCAGCTGCCTCTTATTCTTTGCAAACTGGCGCCAGGCCCTGAAATTTTCAAATTACACCTTTGCAGGCAAAATCCGTACCTCTGGATGTACAGTCCGAGGAGACACAGTTCCAGCATAAAGACCAGGGCAAAAGCCGGCAGATAGGCAATTAATATCGTGTTTTTCGGCTCTACAGTGCGGTGGATTTTTTGGGTGCCGAGGTTGGCGCACGGTGGCACCCAGGTATTTGCAGCCCATGCGCGGGCCAGGAACCAGAAACTACTGTTGCCAGAGTCGGGATTTGGTGTCCATTTCATCTGGAAAAACCAGATTCGATGATTCTTAGCAAAATTTCGCCGCCGCGCGGCAACCGCAGTGCGTCCCAGTTGCCATCAAAATTTACCCTAAACTCATCAGCTCCCCGATAGCAAATCAAATCTGGTCCCAGCTCGGTCAGCCTAAAATCTTACTTTTAATTCTGCGCGGACTTACTGTACATATTCCGTACTCATAACCAATGTCACCGAGTCCTGCTTGGTCAGCCAGAGCTCCAACACCCCGCCTTCCAAATGACCGACGCTGAGCGAGAGCTCGACATTGGGGTGGCCGGGTAGATCCGTTACTAAACACGCACCATTAAATGCGTACGCAGGAAATTACCATACCAGTATATAGCCTGGTTCGCTCGACACCTAATTTCGAACTAGCCGGGTAGTCCAGGCTGTTTTCGGCAAAATAGAATGGCGGGGTGTGCTTTGCATGTTCCTAAAGGTATAAATTAGAAAGAAAAACAAGGGGAGGGAGAGAGAGTGACAAAGAGAGACAGAGAGAGAGCGAAAGAAAGAAATACTATAAAATGCCAAACCAACCTCAACATCATTTGGAGTGGCGAGTCGATGTGTCGAAGCTATCCAACATGGCCCAATATACAGCTTCAACGTGATTTTCGACATTCGCCAAAGCTGATTGACGGTATATCGATTAATTCTTAATCAAAGGTCCTCTATTTTTTTTGCCTACAGCTCACTCGGGCATCGATAGTATCAAATTTCGATCATCAATTGGCACCTCCCCAGCATGAACTTCCAGGCCGCAACTCCAATAACGATATGGCTAAAACTAGTGAAGATAAAGTAAAACGAGACAAAAATTGTCGACTCACATATTTAAAGTTTTCGGAGTAGAGGTGTTTCCCTTGTGGCGCCATTACCACGCTATAATGGGTACTGTTGGCATTGCCACTGCCCGAGTTGAAGCCCTGGCTGAGGGTGTTCGACTTCATGTCGTGAATGCCGAACGGGCGGATGATGTCGGCTGCAAACTTGTAAATTCTCGATTTTGAAGGGATTGTCAAGGCTTGAATCTAGGCAAAATAGATGTGACCAGTAATTACCAATACTCGTGAAAGTAAAAATTTACACTAGAGTCCCACCTACAACGGTCGATAAGACAACGTTCATCGCAAATCTTGACGCAGACATCCCGGTCTTCATTTCAAGCAGCGTCCCATTTGCTAGTCCCATATACGAGTAAAGCTGGTATTTGAAGGGACCAGTAACTCTTAAAACCGGCAGTCTTTCACAAGGCAACTAAAAACGTACCCCTCAATCGACGTTTTATTCACATTTAATTTATCGTTTTTATCCACACGTAGTGGGAATTGATTTTCGGCATCCTTTACGTAGTGTACACCCACGCTCAACGTCATGCTGCACCCTGGGCAGTTGTCAATTTTGACGCGCAGACCCTAGATTTTGGCGGTTATGGTAGTTCCGTTGGATTTTAGGATTTGGTGTTTAGAAGTACTGCAAGGTTTTCGGAAGTCTTTTTGCCGTAGGATCGAATTGTGCTATTTTATCTTTTTATACCTTTGTCTTTGCTCTATCAGACAAATTTGCGTGGGACTATTGAAATTTGATGGAAAAAAGCAGTTTTTTACGCTTCTAACCTTTTTACCCTTTTTGCCTAGCTAACACCTACCGATAGTTGCTTAAAGTCATCACCGTGTATTGAATAACTAGGTGCTGCTGGGGTTAAAGAAACCGTAGTCAACCCGTGGATTCCTAGAGCTTTATGGAACTTGCCTAAAAATTTATGCCCTCACCCTTGAAAGCCGACAACAGGATGAATAACAAACCAGGAACCATATTTGGATGATTCAGAGGCTCTTGTAAAATTCTGGATACCAAAAATGCCCGAAACAATAATCTGCTTCTATTTGCGCAACTCCACCTTAGCACCCACCCCCTCCCCCCTCACTCCGTCCTTCGCTTATCAATTGACGTCTCGCTTTTTAAGCCTCGTGTGATTTGCAAGCATTACAAGTTCTAATCCCAGACTGGAAATGCCGGAAATCAACCCCGATGCTGTTTCCTGGCCGAAAACCATGCGGAACTTGGTGCATTTGGGCAAAGAAATGGGTAGCAGGGATGCAAAAGTTTTTTTGCCTAATTTCCGGTTCCAGGTTTCATTTTCAAAGTAGAATTGAGTTTGGAAAGTACGTAACCGGAATGTTGTAAAAATTATCTGCAAAAGTTGTATAATGACAACAATTTGCGGAACCTTTAAAGGTCCACCGATCGACCAAGGGGTACTGTACTTCACTCGCGGAACTGAATTGGCCCATTTTCCATTTTTTGGATAAATTCTACGCTAGGGATCTTCGAACTTCCGAAATTTGCAGCTTTCACTCCAAATATTTTGCTGGCTGATTTATTTAAAGGGACGCGGAATCCAGAAAAGTAGCAAATCCTTGGAAGAACTTTTTGACCTTAGGCTTCAGCGCTGATTTTATTTGTCGTTCCCTTCATAGCTTTTTAGTAAGTGAATGATTCTATAAAGCATAATAATTCTTGAGTCGAAAGTTACCCTATAGATCCAGTTTGCACCTTTCAGCTGAATCAAGTCTTTTTCACTTGATGAACACCAAAAATTGCAAAAAAAAGAGAGAGCGAGAGAGAGAGAAGAGTGAAAGAGAAACACAGATCAAGGATTCCGTTTTCCGCCCCTATAATCTTCGTGGCAGCCTCCGTGCCTTACAAAGAGATAATTATGCCAATTGGTTCCTTCAATCATTTCAAGCCACGCCCACTTTCAACACCAACAAACCAGGGCTTATATTAGGAACCAGTGGAAAAAGACCGCTTCGCGGCCCTTTTCCACTGGACCTCGTCTAGGAATCATGAATTCCCTTTCCTATTATTGAAGCCTGCGGCGCAAGAGCCTGACTCAAGGAACCATTCATTTGCCTGCGGCGCTAGCTACTGATTTTTCGCGCGGATTTAGCCTGCTGCGCGAAAGCGTAACCTTTTCTTTGACCTGCGACGCCAGAGCCAGCGTTGCGTTAGAATCTCTGAGCCTGCGGCGCTAGTTACTGGTTTTTCTCCAGGATTTGGCCTGCGGCGCGAGAGCGAGGGCCAGGCCTAAGCCTCGCAGGGCCTAGCAAAATGTTTTGTCGTTGAACTCTCAAAAGACAAAAAATCAAACTCGGCGCAGATTCGAACCCCGGACCACGCGCTGGTTAGACCGGGCGCCAATCCACTACACCACGGGGCGATGGGGATGGGCGGCGGGAAAGCCCTCTTCTGTCCTGGGGGCGCGCATCCCGTGAGGGGGGACTTCTGGTAACTTTACAAAATTCTCTTTTTGAATCTAAATGCGCCGAAAATTTGTAAAAATAATAAGATGCGCGTGATCCCCACTATCGAATACATAAGTGGACAAAATTACAGCCCAAAATCCCATCTGGGATTCGAGTTACGGCCCGGACACCACGGGACTGTGGTCAATTTATTAAGGACCTTCTAGTAAATTGCTCATAAAAACTTTATTTTAAGGAATTTGGCAAAATCCAGAAAATAGTATCGGGAGAATTGTTTCTTCCATTCACCCTCCAAAAATCAGCGCCCAACTCCTCTTAGCGGCCGAGAAAACCTCTGGACATACCTTTTTTTCAGCGAAATGTTAAGGATTTTTCACTATTTTGGTTATAAAATCGTCAAATGAAGGAATTTCGCAAAACAAAAAAATGCATCACTGACAAATGTGTTTCTCCACCTCCATGCCAAAAATCAGCTCGAAATTCGGCCTGACGGCCGAGAAATCGGCTGTACAGAAAACAGACATACTTTTCTCGCTTATAGGATAGGATTAGAAACTGCAACTGTTTTTGAAGGTAAGTTTTTCAGCTCTGCATTGGCCCGTTCTCTGGCCATGACAACCCCGGTAGGTGCTTTTCTCTAGTTCCCTATATTGTTTTAGATACCGTATGACCAGCGGCTGGTCGCATTTCTGATCTACATCCCATTAGAAACCATTATGATAACCTCGAATCTGTTGATAGCATCGGGGATAATGTTTGTAAGTTTAGGCACGTTTTTTTGTACTTTTAATGGTTCAAAAAGTCTTACACTTTTGATTTTAGTATATCCCAACCGGAAATTCGATCTACAGCTTTCATCTACACCATTGTTTTATTAATTTAGTTCAGGTAATACTTTTCGACACTATTGGATTTGCTTAGCAAACTCTCAAGCTAACATCTTATTTTTTAGGGTTTTATGCATCTCGTCCTGACACTGCCGATTACCATAACTGGGATTGATGTAGGTTGTAGTTTCGTGCAGAATTTTTCGAAGTTTTGAGCAAAGATCGTGAAACTTTCATAACACGGTGGTGCGAGATACTTTAACGAACGATAGAGCTACCTTAAAAGGATCCAAAAAAAAGGTTTAAGATCTATGAGGAAAGCAACTTCTTGTGGTTGTACCGGGCCGCCGTTTCTTGTGAATATTTGACCTTTAAGGTATGAATGGTAGTTCCATGAACGTGTTTTGTATTGTATAACTTCCATAATAACTAGAGGAACCTGCTTTTCCAGACCGAAAACTAAAAAAACGACGATCTACTTATTTTCAGGTATCCGTCTACCTCGTCTTATTCGCAACGTTAAGTACGGCCACGACGTTTGGACTGCCGCATATTCATGCAAAATTCTTTACCGGCTATGCACTACAAATGTAATAAATCGCTTTGGGTCTGAAAACTACATTTTTCAGCCTAATCACGGCAATTTGGTTAGCAGCGTTATTGGAAACCACGATCGAGCAGTTGACGGATTGCTTGAAAGGATTCAGAGCTCAAGGTATGCTAGGGATTTTATCTTTTATTTTTTGATCTTTTAGATCTGTCTTTTTACTACGCGTGCACATCCGAGCAGCAGCAGCAATTTCTTTTTCATAATGTAGGAAACTTTATCGATCTTGTACTCTTTATTACCAAGTTTATAGTTTGATTCCTTTCAAAGACTCGGGTACCCAATATCGATTTTGATTGGGAATATTTTGCTGTTTGTATATATTCGATACCTTCGGAAGACTGCGAATAAGGCGAGAAGCAGGAAGGCGAGGAGTAGTGGAGGAGAACTGGTGTTGTTGATTCAGGTCGGTAAAATATCTCTCGCTCTTTCTCACTCTCTCTCTCTCTCGCTCTCTCTCTCGCTCTCTCTCTCTCCATCCGACTATTTTCCTTAAAGATTTAATAATTTCAGGGTGTAATCATTTGTCTATTCATTGGCGGTAACGGAGTCTTATTCACCTTCATCGCTCCGCATTTTTTCAACGGTACCAATACGTCAATAGTGTTCCCCTGTACCATGATCGTTACCACCATGGTAAGTATCGCCTAGATTCGCTAACGTTGAGATCACTTTTTCTCAAAATTTAAGTCCCCAGTGTTTTTTACTTTTGTTTCATTAAACATTCTAATTTTCCAAGACCAGTAAAAATAATGGCTTGACTAAATTACCGGGTATTTCCATGGCGTATGTGCAACGGCTTATTCACAGTTGGTCATTACGATAAGCCAACAATTTTGGTCAATTTCGGGAACGTTGTAAATGGGAAAACGTGTACATCATTAAGTTTGTACTTCTTCTGCCCGGGTGAATTCCACCAGCAGAGAGAAACCCCCATTTTCAAGGCCTCAACAAAACGTTAAAAGAGTGAATTAATTATAGGGGGTCGCCATCCTGCAACCGGTGCTGAACTTGTGCTTCAACAAAACGATTCGAAATGCTTCGAAGAGGCTGGCCACCGGAAAGTATGTCGAGTCATTTGATCTCAACGCTGCCACCGTTGGGTGGGTGAAAATGGCGATTTTAAGACGAAAAAGGAAAACACAAAATTCCACTGGTCGCGTAATTGTCGATATTAATAAGGGAATCAACACCGTAAAATCTAGGCCCGGCCACCACCAAAAGGGCAATCTAGCACAGGTTCTTCAGGATCTTTCGGCCGATTTTTAAAGCAGGTAAATGAGAAAGCTGGCGCTATTTTCGAAATGGTGTCTCTTTCGCCTTTAAGGCGCTGTTCGGATCTTCAGCCATTTTGACTCATTTTAAAATCTTACATAGCCGATTTTTTTTCAGACTTCCCCAAGCCCATATCCACACGATTGGCTCGACGGCGACGACGACACTCAACCGCCACTTGTCCATTAGTCAATCGGCGCAAATTTATAAGTAAAATGCAATAAAAAATTCCACAGTTGTCTTTGGCCAAAAAAATTATTGCACCTGGCGGTGAAAAATCGCTGGAGACCTTGCTGCACAACGTAATTTTCTAATCCTTAAAAATGGATCAGGTGAATGAGCGCAATGTAAAATTTAGCAAGAAAAACTAAAAAATCCACCACAAGTACAATGAGCGTCTCGGAAATTGCTAGAGACTTTTTGGCGCTGAGGCCTAATTGGGTGAAGACCGAGAGTCGCCTATAAAAACCTTCCGAAAAATCGGGGGCTATCAAAAAAGGGTCTGATTTCCCGAGGGAGCGTCATTAGAGAACAGGCCAACGTGCGAACAGTTCAAACCACCAATGATTATTAATTGCTGCTCGGAGAACAAAAATCTTACCCTAGGCGTTTTTACAGCGACTTTAAAGGTCGCAGCTTCGATAGATAATCAACAGCAAGCTGAGGAAGTTCAGCTTGAAAAAATAACCAAAACGAACTTCCAGGCTCGCACTAAGATTTTCAAATTTCAAATTTGGACCAAACTCAGAAGGTTTGGAGGAGGGGCAAAAATTCAGTTAGGGGCGTGTCGATAAATCTGATTTTTCAGGGGCGAAACCTCAGAGAAATGAGGGATTTCGAATGTTTGGCGATGAGTATCACTTACAAATTGTAGATATTCTCTTCCGGGTCTCGTGCGTTGAGCTTAGAATTTCGGTGGTTTTTGAATCGACTAGAGAGGTTTTCGTTTTCTAATTCATTTAGCAGTTTTAAAACCACGATTAAGCGCGAATACCCGGTAAGGACAGTAGAAGCAGTACCGCCTGACTTCTCAAATGGACGACCTCTCCCCGGTATGCTTCTATTAAAAATGTACCTATTTGTAGCTTAGATACCTTATGAGGAACGGCTGATAGCGTTTCTGATCTACATCCCGCTAGAGGCAATCATGATCTTCTCCAATCTACTGATCGCAATGGCTATAGTATTAGTACGTCCTGATACCTAAAGATTATCACTTCCCAATGAAATCCATAATAACAAAACTCTTAGCACATCCCGGCCACTAGCAATTCTGTATACAGCTTTCACCTTCACCACGCGATTATCAACTTGGTACAGGTAAACATTAAAACGTGAAAATTTAAATTACTTCTTTTTAGGCCTTTATGCATCTCGTTCTAACGCTTCCTATTACTATCACTGGCCGTGACGTAAGGATCAGAAAATCAGCTAAAATAAAGATTCAGCTTTACCTGAACTCGCCCTTCTTCTGGCTCTACAAAATCGGGATCGCTTGTGAATATGTGACTTTTATGGTATAAACAAAGTTATACTTTTGAACGCCACCTATTTAGGTCTCCGTAATTCTCGTCTTATTCGCCACGTTAAACACCGCCACAGTTTTTGCCATGCCTAAAATCAACGACAGGTTCTTTACCGGAAAGGCCTTACAAATGTAGGCCTTCTCCGTCTCTTATATGAATTGCAAAACTAGACTTATCGGCCTGATCTGGGCGCTGGGAATTATCGGCACCATGTTGCAGCAGTTGACGGATTGTGAGGAGAAATTCCGGGCTGAAGGTAGGCCCTAAAAACTGTATAATAGGCTTCCAGACCTATCATTTTTCTATGCTTGCACACCGGAGCAAAAGTCTATGTTTTTATTTCATAACGTAAGGCACAACTTAGTTTTCCTTACTGGCTTTAGTTCGATACCTATCAGCGCATTGGCTACCCTTTAACGATTCTTCTTGCCAATATCCTACTTTTTACCTATATCCGCTGTCTCCGCCGACGCTCAAATCGCGTCGGGAGCAAAAAGCGTAATGGCGGGGAAATGGCATTGCTGTGTCAGGTCCATCTGCCTTAGAAATTAACCATCTAAAAACTACAATTGAGGCGTGGCCGCAGCCCTTGAAATACCTTTTAGGGCGTCATCATTTGCGCGTTCACCGGCGGAAATGGGGTGCTATTCGCCTTTCTGGCCCCCTACTTTTTCAACGGTTCGAATACGTCGGTGATCTTCCCGTGCGTGATGATCATCACCACTATGGTAGGGCGTCAAGCGAGTTCCAAAAAAAAAGATCTTTGGGGCGTCGCCATCGTGCAGCCGCTCGTCAACTTTGCCTTCAACAAGACGATCAGGAATGCGTTGTTGCGGCTGTTGACTGGGAAGTATGGTATTTTTGCCCCGCCCTGAAATCCTCTGTACCACAAGTATAAGAATTCCAGAATTCGAGCCCATGTGACAACAACGGCAGTGTCGACAACAGCGATAAGTCGGCGTGTTACAGCGGGTCCGTGAAGCTTCAACAAAGACTTATCCTAGAACTTTGTGAGACAAACTTCCGGTTCTAGCATTCCTACGCATCACATTATTTTATACTTTATTGCAGACGATTCGGACACGTAAAGCTATAACAATGGCAGGCAGAAGCATAACTATTGCTGTGTACAAGCAGCGAGCGGATAAAAATTTGTCTGGCCCTACCAACAACAAAGCGCACAACAGTTTCTACAGTTGTGGAGCCGTGGGGAAACTCTGCGAAACCGGGGGGATGGGAGAGGGCTAGCAAAACGGGGGATGAACAGTTACAAATGAGGCCAAGTGAGGTAACAGAAAAAGACTGCAGGCTATATTATGGGTGGCGAGGAGGAGGTGGAAGAAACTCTAAAAAACGGGTCTATGAATGAAAAGAAGGTGAGCACGTAACAGTGAGTTTGTAATTAACATTATTATGGACAATTGACGCGGCCAAAAAGGGGGCACATGCGGGGGGTGGTACTAGATGATACTTTCGAAGCTCTTGGTACGCGGGTTCGCGTCGTACTTGAGCGTTGGCATCTGGCGCATGTCGTGGAGGAGTTCGGGGAATGATGGTCGATCGGATGGGTCGTGTGACCAGCAGGCGGAGAGGATCTGAAAATCAAAATTTTCTTGCCGAACAATATTGTAAAAAATCAAAACCCGACATCTGAAGCCCATGATTTCGAAAAGAAACCGCCTTGAAAAAGACGTAATTCACAAGTCGCCGAAGAACTGCTTTTTAGGTTTTAGGTTTAAAAATAGCGCGAGTGTAATGCCGTTATACGGTTTCTAAACCGCAAGCTATTAATTTTCTAAATACACAGAATTTAAAATTCCAGTTTTCCCTCATTTTTCCAAAAATTAGATGAAAACGAATGCCTACCCATATTCCGTCAAATGGGCAGTCCTTGGGGATGCGTGGCTTCACCCCGTTCCCAACCCGCCAGATGATTGTTTCAGGGGGGCTGCCAGACCAGGGGAGTCGCCCGACGAGAAGCTCATGCCAGATGGTACTGTAAAAAACGCAGGTTATTAGCAAAGATCGTAGTCTTACCCAAAAGCATAGACGTCCGTCTCCTCGTTGGAAGGCAATTCTCTGAAGTCGTCGGCAATCTCGGTGATCAGCTCCGGCGCGAGGTAGGGCAGCCATGAAGTCGGGGTGATGATTGTGTATTTTCTAAACATCTCAGAAATTCAGCAAAAACGAGTAATTTACCGATGAGGATTCTTCATACGCTTCATGCTGAAGAGGCCGACGTCAGTGACGAGGACGCGCCGTCTTTGCTCGACGAAGATGTTCTTGGATCGCAGGTCTCCGTGGATGATGTTCTTCGCGTGGAGATAGGAGAGAGCCTGAAAGTGAAGACTAAGCTAGAATAAAAATTTAAATATGCCTGGCAAATCTGAACGGCGTATTTGTTGGCTGTCGACAGGCTTAAGTTGACCCGGGACTCGTAGAGATGAGAGTAGAGCGATTCACCCCTAAAAAGTGTAGAACAGAAAAATATCCATACTGGCAAAGCCCGGTGACGATGCCTGGGGAACCCTCATCGAAAAAGTAGCCGCGGAACATGACGATGTTGTCGTGGCGAGCACTCTAAATCAGAGTCCAACCCGTTGTATAAATCCGTACCTTGAAATTCTCGACACACTTCATAAATTCGTCCCTTCGCTGCCCTCGTTCAACGTGGTCCATGTCGAGAAATTTCACGGCGACGTCGCCGTAGTAGTCGGCTTTTTGGACCTAGAATGAAAAATTGCGATCCCGAACAAATCCAAGATACCACTCCGAAGCGGCCACGGCCGATGAACGACTTGGTGATGTTGTGGAACTTGAGCTTCTCGAGCGGGATCGTCACGTCCGTCCAAGACGAGGAGCCGACGATGGCCTCGGGAGCGTGGAAGAGGTTCCAGTCGCTGTCGAACACGGAGGGCGACACCGGGGCGGGCGAGTGGATGATGCTGAAAAAAAAGTTTTGTCTCGAGCGCGCTAAAAGACCAAAAAAAACCAGCCACAAAACAAAAACCAACGCCGGTAATCGAGTATCTTGTCGACGAGCGTTCTTCGGATCGGAACCGAGTGAAATAGGCGATTCCGGCCTGAACGAGCTAGCCGCTTCAGCAATGTAGCTGGCATGATGAGGCCTGGAGGCGCTTCGATCACCTAAAAACAGATTAAAAAGTTAAAAAAGAGCTTACTCTCAATTTCGAGGCCGGTGGAGCCTGAGCACTCGGTCGAAGTGTCCTCTCCACCGTAGATGTGCAACAGGGTCATGTTGCTGCTGGTGCTCGAGCGGCGCAGCGTTGACGACGTGGACGAGTTACGCTTGGTTCCAAACCAGGAGTCCTAAACAAAAAAGTAATAAAATAATTCCAATCTACTTCGTTGTTGCGCTGGATCATCTCGTCCATGGCGGCTCGTAGGTGGTTCGACGTCAGCCCGCACGACTCGCCGATGCGCGGCTTGCACTCCGGGTGAACGCGCCATCTAAAAAGTTGCCCGGTGACAACATAAAAATAAAATAAAGAATAAAAATAAGGGCAAAACCAAAAACAAACGGACCGACAACTTTGGCACTTCTCGTAGTGCAGCAAGAAGCTGCCGATGGGCTTGTGGCAAAACGAGCAGTCCATACTGCGAAAGACCAGCCTCGTTCGCCGCTGCCATTTGTGCGGGATGTCGTGATGGAGCGCGCGGGCTGGGTTGGACACCTTGCGCTCGAGCGGACCGATGTCTAAAAATAAAAAAAAAAACTAAACGCATCCAGCTCTCAAAACGTACTCATTTTCTGGCCAGAGCGCGGCAGCGAGGTGATGGAGAGCTGGTGCTGGGCCGGCGACCACTTTGTACGGGCGATGGCGGCCGATTCTATAATGTTAAACTATTGGTGATTCAATACAGACACAATAAGAACCATACGCGCATAATTTAGCGCAAAGGTTTCAAAAGCGGCAGTACAAACTGCGAAAAACCGAATAAATACAAAAACACACCTTCAGCCAAAGTGGCGAGTGGTGAGCATCTGGACGAACGTCGGGCGGAGGAAGGCTTGGCTCGCGCTTTGAGCTGAAGCGAGAAATTTCGAAAAGAATAGGGATTTACTTGTGAAAGCCAGCCTTTAGAGGGCTGGTCCATGCCTGGGCAACAATGTGTGGTGGTGCGGTGCTGGCGGAAACTGAAACAAATTTAGCGGCAATAATCCAAAATGACGTTAAAAATAGAAAGAAAAACTAAAAGACCTAAAATTGAAAAAAGCAGTGTGAAGAAATGGGTGAAAAAAGAAAAACGGCTCGGAAACTCGGCAATGTACGCGCGCCAACTTGGACACTATGGTGCCAATAGGAATAAACGGAACTCAATTTCGGGTTTTCCGATTTGACGCAGTTTTTGTTAAAATTCTGCTTTTTCGCTGTAAAATAAGTTATTCCGCCTGACTAGCGCGTCTGTTTAGTTAAAAATATCCGGTTTTGTCATATTTTGCTCTTTCAGGGTTATATAAATGGGGGAATTAATTTGTTTATTCGGCAAATAACGAATTCAGCACCAAATCGATAGAAAGAACAGGGTACGGCATAAATAATATTCATCACATTTCATGTAATGCTCGAATTTCATCCCAAATCTGTTCCTTCATGATTTTGTGTAGGTTTGAGTCGATTTTTGGTGGCGATATAGCGATAGAACGGTGTCTTTTCCGCTTGCTGCCACAGCGCTTCAACTCTGCCCGCGAGACGTAGCGCTCGAATTTGATGAAGGAGAAGCATTTTCGTTTCGTCCAATAGGAGAAGGGGTCCTGTAATGAAATGATGATAGATTTTGTTATTTGGACTTCTTTTTGCTTTAAAATGTGGAAGTTTGTTTAGAAACGGGCCTAGCTTATAGAATTCATTCTACTCACAATTTGGCTGCCTTTTCTGTTAAATCCAACATAGAGCCCGGCTTCGAATACACTTTCCAATTCAGTATATCCGCTTTCAGACATCCGTTCGTGGAAATAGCAACGAATCGAGTGTCCGCTAGGCTGTAATCAATTCTTGGTTATTTTTATGCTTTGCCTACCCTGGTAACCAATTTTCTGCGCTTGTTAAAACAAAGGTAGAACTTCGTAAGGGCGTGCTGGATACGGATCCGGTTGTGCCAATCCGTATGGACTATGAAATCGGCTGAAAATCGGGCTTTAGGTATAGATTTTGAGTTAACTTACTTAGACATTTGTTATCCATATCACCGGTAGCTTCAATGTCTTTTAGGTAGGTTTGGAGGAAACCCTGGCTACACTGATTGTGGAGTTGCCAGGTGGTCACGCCGCTGTTTACAACCAGGGGATCCGTAAGGCGGAATAAGTTGTAGATGCTAAAAGGTGGTGGTAGATGATGTTTAACGAAAATCTCAGGGCTAATTACTACTTGGCTAATTGGATATGTAAAGTCGAGGTTAATATGCCGAAAATGCCAAACATATAGTATATGCCACTT